TGAAGAAGCGTTGATTTGCTGTTGTACACGATTCCAGTACAACAGCAAATCAGCGCTTCTTCAAGATTTAAAAAATATGACATCACCACAGGGTACGTGACCCCAGCATAGTTTTGAAAAAATTTTGCAAAAACCCAGAAAATAATTCGCTTTTTTAACAACCTTAGAATGAACTTTTGAAGTTAAAACTTTGAGAGAATGTAGTAAAATTACCAGTGTTTGAAATGATGTAGATTTTATATTGTTTTTGTTTGTAATTTGCGAAATATTCATACTCTAGTAAACGTTGTAATAAATTTCCGTTAAAAGTCTTGCCAACCTTGTCATAATAATAAACTGAGTAGACTCGATGCACGCCCGAGCGCCACGCGCGAGGGTAAAAATTACAACACGCACTTTTGGGCAGCCTATGGCCATGGTCGCCATTTTCCTAGCAAGTGTCGCTCGCGTGATAATTCGTCATTTGGCAATACGTCATTGCTTTCAAGAGAGCTTTCAACACCTTTTCTACAACTTTAATTGCTTTCAACAACTTTAACCATTCAACAAATAGTGTTCTTCATTGTTTAATCCATAAATTTCGATCCAAAAAAGCCGCAATAAAGTGCAAAAGCTCGTGTGTTTCAGGGCGCCATTTTGCTAGCAAGTGTCATGGCGTGAGCATGACGTGTACATCTAGGGAAATTTGAGGACACGAAGTCCTATCACAGAGTAGAGACATACAGAGACGTAACTAGTGTACCCACTTTTTTTGTGCGCATGCTCGGCAAGTTACTAGATGCATGCATCTGATTGGATGACGATCTGATGACGACTCACTTTAAACTTGCTGAGCACGCGCAGTTGATCATTTTTTGCCCGGTCGCCTGAAAAAAAGTGGGTACATGACAACGTAATCTTCCGCAGTGTTTACAACGGTCAGTTACGTCTCTGTATGTCTTATCTACTCTGTGGTCCTATTAAGTTACACATCAGGGCCGGTTGTATAAAAACGTAGTTAGCGCTAACTGCAGTTAAAAGTAGTTAAAAAGCCTTAAAAAATAGTTAACTTTAATCTTAAGCCGGTTGTATAAAAGTGTAGTTAGCCTTAACTGCAGTTAAAAAGTAGTTAAAGTTAACTATGCTTTAGAGTATAGTTAACTGTCCAAAACGTAGTTAAAAATGGCGTTTGTATAGGAGTGAACAACAATTTTCAGTAAAACAACAATGAAAAGCAACGGTTACCTGAGATTTTCAATCGCTATCTTCCCTGTGAATGTTTCCTGACAATATAAACTCTTCAAACGCTATCGCTTTGGTGTTTTTACGAAAACAGAACATATTTTTGCACAGGACGATTTCTCGAAGACGAAGTATGGTCCATTACACCAAGAAACACTGATATATAATTGCCAAACAGCATACCTTGGTTTAACGTAGGCATTTCAAGGACAAACTGCATTCTTTTGTGATTTTTGTGGCGGTTTTTCTTTGTTTTCTTGTATATTTTTCATTGTTTTTCTAGTGTTTTGAATAAAATTCCCGCCTATTTGCAAAATACGAGTCCACAATCATGTTGAAAATGTGTGTCAGCGGTCGTTATTCGCTGCTTACTTTATGTAATTTTGTGTTTAAACGCCCCACGCAAGCCCCACGCACAGTTAACTACGTGATTAGTTAACTATCCGACTAACTACGTTTTGTGCAACGCAGTTAAGTCATGTAGTTAACTAATTACAGTTAAGGATTTAACTACAGTGATTAACGCTAACTACAGTTAGCGCTAATTACGTTTTTATACAACAAGCCCCTGGTATATACTTCATCTGTGCCAGCTAGTACCGTGAAATTTTTTTATAAGGAAATCTCGAAGGAAATAGATGGAAAATCCGAATTTTTGTCATAAAAACAGCGATTTTAACGAAACTATCCAGGTGATTTGCTGTTTCGTTTAGGTGATTTGCGGTTAGACTGGACATTTTTAACAACAAATGGGGCTACAAACACTACTTGAACGCTGTGTTGACAAATCAAAAAGAGATAAAAAAAAGTTGTTCTACACGATGTTCTATACTCCAGTTGTGTCGGTTTTGCGGCCGAAAAGCTCAGAGGTTGTTCAGAATTGACATTCCAGTATATTTCGTATCGTATAATGTTCAGGTAAGAGCATAATTCACTTTTTTAAACGAGAAAAAACTAGCAAAACTGAAACAAGTCTCGACCAAAATGTCTCAGTCTTTGACAATTTGATACGTGTGTTGATCTGATTTAAATTGTGTATTTTGATTGTCAGGATATTAACCCATTAAGTACAAACTCAACTTGTCAAGCAGAGAGTCTTGCCACTGAAATATATTCCCGGCAAATAGTTTTGTTCGCTTTATAGGATATCACAATCTGTGGGCAGACCGCTCCTTCAACTTTCAAAATCAAATAAAAGTTTTTCAAAAGCTCAACTGTACTTCTTATGTGAATAGAAAAGATCACTTACTGTTATTGTTGAAAAATTTTGTCCAGATATGAAGCTCGAAAGCGTCTTTTCCTTAAAAATGCCACTTTTTGCATTTCGAACTGTGTTTTCCCTATAGTTTTGACTGAAAACGCAGCGACGGTAATGGCTGCTGGCATATTAAATTTTTTTTTGAATATTTAATTTGCTTTTGATGGCGTGTAAATGCACAGCGGCCCAATCTCAGAATGAATGATCAGGTGTTGCGGGTTTTTAATGGTTTTTATAAACAAATTTATAGTCAACCAAAACTATTCTAAAAACATTCTCAAATTAGTCAAATAAATACATTTTAACAATAAAATATAGTTCACATCATAGTATAATACCCTTTGCATTCTTTTAATTACTCCATGAGCTCATTTAGAGCGGTTGATGTAACATTTTCTGTAGCCTACATTGTGTGTGCTCATTATGTACTATTTAAAGCCCGCGTAGGAGTGTTTTATCACATATAAAACACGACGCGTAGCGGAGTGTTTTATATGTGATAAAACACGACTACAAGTGCTTTAAATGGCTTCAAAAACGACTCATCTTATACGAGTTCATTGGCAAAGTAATTTTTTAAAAAAACTTTGACTTAACCGAGAAAATCAAAGCTAAAGTTTATGTAAATTAACATGATCTTTTATCACATATAAAACCACGACACGCTTATGATTTTTCTTTGTGTTTTGCTCCTGAATTATTAATGAGTTTTTGTCACTGGCGGCACGACCGCATCGCCTTCAAAGTCAAATATCTCCGTTCAAATTTGTCGTACGGCAAAACAAATTCGATTACATCTTTTCACAAAGATTTCTCTTTCTAACTAATATGGTTTGATCATAGCTTGGGCAAATTTAGCGACGAACGGAGCCAAAATCTCCTCAATTTCGAATGCTGTTCAAAATACTTAGGGCTGCTCGGGCACGATCGTGAACGTGACGTAATCAATACATACTGACAATACCGCCTTACCGCCTTACATGGGGTGGGACAGCATCAAGCGACAAATTATCATCGGATTTGATATGCTGTCCCACCCCGGGTAAGGCGGTATTGTCAGTATGTATTGATTACGTCACGTCCACGATCGTGCCCGAGCAGCCCTAAGTATTTTGAACAGCATCCGAAATTGAGGAGATTTTGGCTCCGTTCGTCGCTAAATTTGCCCAAGCTATGATCAAACCATATTATTTAGAAAGAGAAATCTTTGTGAAAAGATGTAATCGAATTTGTTTTGCCGTACGACAAATTTGAGCGGAGATATTTGACTTTGAAGGCGATGCGGTCTTGCCGCCAGTGATTAGCCTTTTACTGTTATATTATATATAATGAGCACACACAATGTAGGCCACAGAAAATGTTACATCAACCGCTCTAAATGAGCTCATGGAGTAATTAAAAGAATGCAAAGGTATTATACTATCATGTCAACCATATTTTATTGTTAAAATGTATATATTTGACTAATTTGAGAATGTTTTTAGAATAGTTTTGGTTGACTATAAATTTGTTTATAAAAACCGTTAAGAACCCGCAACACCTGATCATTCATTCTGAGATTGGGCCGCCTGTGGTAAATGGCGTCAGCTTCGCAAATCTGTGTGACGTCCTAAACACTGTATTTTTCACCGAGTGAACTCTGTTTATATCTTTACTCTTTGGTGTGAATTAAACAAGTCACATATTATTAGCACTGATGAAGATCCGGGCTTACGGATCGAAAGCTTTGCAGTAATAAATTTACGTGGTGTTTCCACAAACAAAACTATTATAAGCAAGGTTAAATTTAATGACGGTCAGTGGAATGGAACTTTACTCAATACCAGGTGATAATAACCATAGAGATTATAAATAACACTAGAGGGGGCATCAAAATTGCTGACATCAGCATTATTTTGGAGCGCTCTCAAAAATGTGTTATAGACAAAATTGAGGTAAAAATGCTTGGTAAAAATTAAAACGGGACTACTTAACTGCCATAAACAAGCATTTAGAGATTTTGGCTCAAATTAGCTCTTATTTTAGCATTTTAATTTTTGCCCCCCCCAATAGCCGCGTTCCCTTTCTTTGACTGAAGCGAGATTACGATGCCTCCTCCAGTGTTATTTATGATCTTATGATAATAACCACCCAATTAAATGACGATGATTTATTAAATTGTTATGACACATAATTATATAAATTGCACATAGAAAATGTTATTTAATAGACACCTTAACATTGAATAATGTTCTAATCTCATTTTCCCCAAAAGTACATTGGATTAATAGCTTTAATTTTCTTAATCTTGTAAGTTTGTAACTCACACTTCAGTTCAGTTGATGAAGTTTTTACTATTCATCGTCGATACTGTCACAAACATTTAACAAACGAGAGGAATCACGTGAAAACCACCTCTGGGCACAAGGTCTGAACAAACATTTAAAAATCGACCTGAAGCACATGAAGAGAACACGAACAAAAACAGAAATTATAGCAAAGCATACAAGAAGCAAAAGAATGGCTGGAAATAGTCCTAACATAACAATCTCTAGCCATTGAAACACTTTCAAAACTGTTACTAAAGAACCCTTGATATTTTGTTCGGAACCAACGAACACAGACTTAAACTGGTTGACCAAGCCTAAAATGACCAAAAACAACAAAGAAAGAGACTCGAGATTGTTTGCTAACGAATTTTGAAATGGTTTAACCTTGAGATGACAGCAAAGCACGAAAACACAAGCAAGTGTCATACAGAATAATCTGATAGATGACTCTGTTACGACACAGAAGATTAAAACCAAAAGAAATCGACGAGCAATCAAGATACTCTGCCAATATAAAGCCCCTCGCTTGCTTGCACCTTTCGGCTGTCTGTAAGGAGCCAATAGCATCTCTTTTAATGCGTTTAAATTTTGGTTTTCTTCCACATTCACTACTGGAGATGGACAAACAAGGCGGAAAAGCCATAACAGTAAGAATGGAAGGGGGCAGATAATGGCTAGAAAGAACTGTTGGATTGTTATTTTATCATGGTGAAGTTTGAACGAAATCCAAGCAAGCACAAATATCAAAGGAATCACAAAGATAGCATTAAAAGTAAACGACGCATATTGCCACCATTGGTAGCATAATACGTTTCCATTGTAGAACCATCGAGGTTCACCTGCAACAAAAACACAGCGAATGAGTGAAATACTGACAGTGGCCATGGTTACGTAGCCAAGGAATATAGTTTTAATACCGGCTTGGAGGTATGGAGAAATAGCAGGACGAATGGAGCCTCTCATACCACTGATGAAGAAATGCAAGGCATAGATAAGGAAAATAGCAACTAAAGTTCCAAAGACAGGAGCAATTTTAAAACCCAGCTTTATATCTGGAGTGAGACCTGGAAAAGGACACAGAAAACCTTGTTTCTTAAAAATTGGTTGGAAATTGAAGAAGCCCAGAACAGGTACAAGGAATTGGGTGTCAAAAAATTCTGTCAGAGAAGTCGAGGAAAGAAGTAATTGTGCTATTTGATAGAAGTAGAAGATAATCTCCACAAAGCGGGAAAATTGTCTTTTGTCTTGTTTGAGTTGCTGTAATGAAGACAACGGTATGTTTTCCTGTCCGATCTCTTTGTCCACTGAGAGGGAGCGAATTATGTCATGATTGGCCTGAATGTTTGCTGTACGACTGCCTGCAAACCTTTCAAACCAAAATATCTGTTTTAAAGAATACGTTACGAACGGAGGCTTGAAAACAAGGAGAATGGCCATAGAAAAGACAAGCGCTAGAAACAGAACCCAAAACCAATGATCGTGGCAGTCTTTGACTGGTGTACAGTACGTTGACCACAGCGCTTCTGTATAGCCTTGAGAACACACCCCACACATAACTCCCGTACGTTTTCCTTGGCAATCATTGTATTTACTACTGTTAGCTGGCGGTGACTTGCAGTAACCGAACGGACAAATTGTGAAGGCTAGTTTAGGAGGATTCGAACTAGTTTGGTATCCCCAAAAGTTAGTTTTTGACTTGATTGCGGCAACACATTCTGCTCCACGCGGGCATGGTATGCATTTGAAACTGTCGTCTACATTCAATCCTCGTGCTGTTCCTCTTTGCAGGGAGTAGAAATTGTAGTCACATTCCTTGCAGGACAAAATAAGAGAGTCAACAAAACGATTATCGTTGCCTCGGTAATTATAATTCGTTTTTTTGATAGCATGACTCAATGGGCAAGTATTCAGCGTGGCATTGTCAAATGATATCCAACTTGCTGCGGGGACAACAATCAATGGTTCGTCGGATTTTGCACTCCTGTTGAATGTTGTATTAACTATAAATATTGTACCAGAGCTGTATATCCTCAGGAACGCAGTGGCCATGAATTCTCTTGTATTACTAATAATAATTTGACTTGTTTGTTTAAACACGCAATGTTCTAAAATCAGATCTGTTGAACCACGGCTAAGAATTTGCCCGCCTTGAAAAGGTGCAAAATTATTCAAAAACGTACTTTTCATGAATAGCACTTTGCCGTTGGACACTGACAAAACGCTTCCAGCTGCCGCTATATTCTCTTCGAATAATATCTTCGTAAAATAAATTTTAGAAATCCCAGAAGGGTTATTGGTTTGAGTGTCTACTCTTACAGCTCCTCCCGTACCGTTTATATTCTTGTTGCGAACAAAAGCAGAATCGTCTATGCTTAGAATGGAATATCCACTTAAATGTACGTTAAGTGCTCCACAGAAATTGTTCTCAAAAGTCGTATTCGTGATGAAAATCATTGAATCGTTTAAAGCCAAGAACATTACCCCGACCTTGCAAGGCACATTACCATTCGAATCGAAGATCGAATGCATGCACGTTAGTGAAGCGTGTCCTACTACATCAACTGTTCCCGCATACCCAATATTTTCTCTAAATATGCAAGTATCTAAAGTTACGGAATGTAATGTGGATTGACTGAAAATGAAGAGAATGCTGCTACCTTGCTTCGCTAAGTTCCTAATGAAACGCGTATTTTTGATATAGACTTTGATTATTGTACTTTGGGCCCAAAGAAATACAATGCCGTAACCATATGGCGGATGTGCACGTAATTTGTTCTGGACGAACATAACGTTGGTGATAAAAAGGTTGAATGTAGACTCTCTTGGGAGGGCTATTGCTTGAATAATTCCTCCATCATCAGCACTATTTTCCAGGAAATAGTCATTGTAAAAGCTGATTGTAGCAGCATTATTCGTAGAGATGAACAGCGCGCCGCCAGAATGTGTAGCACTATTTCGTAGAAATGAACTATCACGGACAGTCGACAATAAGTTTTCAGCTAATACCCATACTGCACCACCGTCCTTCCTTGATGCGCTATATGAAAACGAGGTATTGATTATGCGTAAATCCACTAAGAAATGTTTGCCACGATTCGGCGATTGTATATGTGTGTTCTGTTGCGATTTAATATACACTGCGCCACCGTAAACAGAATTGGAAATATTCTTAATGATCGAGTTTTCAATGGCAAGCACCGAATTTGGCGCGCCAATTGAAACAACACCGCCGGTCCCATTGTTGTTTCCATTACGAAAAGAGGAATCCTTGATTGATAAGTAACATGAATCATATTGAAATAGGTTTACTACGCCACCTCCAGGAGTTACTGAGTAGAATCCGTCCACTTGAATGTTTGAGATGTTGATTTCCGCTGAGTACCCGCTCACAGTTAGAAAAGTAGAAGATGTTTTATAAACAAACCCGTACTCCAATTTCATAAATACCCAAGCAGATAGGAGACGAATTAAACCGTCATATTCTTCAATACTTGGATTCGTATGGCTATTTTCTTCCATTCTGAACTGATTTGATAAAAAGTTTGTGGTTCCTAATTGGTTTACAACCACAATCATGCCATATTTCTTAAAAGTATTCTTCTTAAAACTGCAGTTCCTTAGTTGAATGTTGATCAAATTTTCTTTGGAATTTAACCAAAGAATAGACGGTGTGTCCAAAGAGAAATTGCCGTTTTGATAGAAGAGCGTATTCGTTATGTTAACAAAAATCTTGCTGACCTTACTAGGCTTTATTATCATGCACGCTGCATTTTGTTGGAAAACAACATTTTTCAGCGATAAATCCAACCGAGGCAGATTTAACACTTCAATATCTAAGCTTACAAGTTTGGTTTCCGCAAATACAGTATCATTGACAACCACAAAAGCATCGAAGAGGCGTAGGGACGTATTCAGAAAAGTCAGACCGGAAAAGCTAATTCGTACACCGTCTTTGAACTTAGTTCCATCCACCAACCACGGGTTGCCATGGAGACACGAGATATAAGCACGTGATCGTATACTGACGAATGATACGCTCTTGCCAAGACGAATTCCCGGATATCCTGGGTTTAGGACTTCGCAGGTATAAGGATTTTTGGATGTAGCTGACCCATCCAGGTAGATATATGACCCAGCTGACACTTGTTGTATGCCATAAGATATTGTACGACAAGGAGAATTTAGTTTTCCACATGTTTTCCTGTCATTACCATTGAGACGAGACACGTAAATTCCTTGTTCTGACAGTGCAGAAGAAGCTAGGAAAAATAAAACCCAAATTAAGTACAATGAAATCACTACACAACAGGCAACTAAGTTCTGATCCCAATTTTTTTCTTGTAATCCTTAATATTATTAAAACAAGATTTTCGGGCATCTGACTCGATTGAACTAATGTTGAAGGATTTTGTGGATGGCAAATTCGAGGTGAATTTTATGCACTTATTTAGACCTAATTAACCAGGAGCAGCTGCGAAAAATGCAACTATAGGTCCTTTGCCAGGAATCGAACCTGTGGCCTTGCAATTCCAGGGCATACCAACCATAGATATCTTATATACACTAGATAGCGCATCTCTTTAAGTAAAATTGAAGCCAAGAATATTCCAGCGGTTACCCCCATTTGAATAGATGGCGGCTATGTTGGAGTTTCCCACTCGCTAATAAACGCTTAAAAACAACAATAACTTTCATCATTTGAACAGTTTGAAAATGTATTTGGAATAGGTTTAACTTCATGTTTAAGTTCCCTGTTTAAGAAATAGAAAACATACGAGTCTTCTCATTTCATGGGAATATCCTGAGTCTGCAATCACGGCTTCAATTTTTGAATTGCAGAATAATTAGATGCACTATCTAGTGTATATAAGATATCTATGATACCAACCTGGAGAACATTCTGAAAGGCAATGTAACATATCTTTACAGTAAAAAACCTATCTTAATCAACTTTTTCATTGTCAAAGTTGCCAGATATAATCATATATTAATATCATTAGATGAATTCTAGCAGCAAAAACAAAGACTTTGACGGAATTAAACTATATTTTGCAACCATGCATATATCTATAATGACGTCGTATTTAGCCAACTTGTATGTATTAGTTATTCTACTGTGTGCTCTCAAATTAAAATAAACAGTAAAGAGTCTTTAATCTAATGTGACCAGATTTTCCAGCGGTTATTACTAAACTTTGTGGTCAAAGTGTACTAAATCGAGAAACATTTTGCCAAATTAATTTTATACTTCACCCCGGTTTGATAAGCGTCTATGCATGGTAACAATATACACACCACCATCAAGACCGCGGGGGTGAGGTTCTTCAATATATTAGAAGTTCTTCAATATATTAGAAGTTCTTCAATATATTAGTATTAGGTAAATGTTTTCGTCAAAAACAATAGCGCAATCATGCATGGGTTTTTGACAGGGCAACTAGGTTGGATAAGTTAGCCTAAAAATCCACTAATTTCATATTCCATGTTTGAAATTAGTGGGTTTTGCAGGCTATATATATATAGAGAATTTCATTAATCGCGCTGTTAGCATCTCTATACACACACATTCAAACACAATTTTTACCAAAAAAATACTGAAAAATCTCTACAAATGTTATCAAAAGTTTACTTTACTAACAAAATTATAATGCATTACAAAAATGTTTCCAAAATTGAGAAATTTTTTTTCTAAAAGAAAAATATATCAGGCCAAATCTGGTCACATTGCTCACGTCTTGTGAAAATATACATATCATAAAAGTATAACAATCTAACTGTACAAAATTTACATCAGATAAAATCTAAACACTAATATGTAATAGTAATCCAGTCACATTATAGATTAATTTAAACAAATGTGTCTTAAGCTCTTGAAGCCTGATAGCTTATTCCACAATCTAAGTTCATTAAGTACCATTTCATGGGGCTTGAAACGCGGGTATACCACTTCTCGCGGCTTGAAACGCTGACGTTTTTATGTATTTGTGCTTGCCGTTATAAACAGAGCGAGGACGATGTCAAAAACTCTCGGAGGATTTTCATTGTCCATTTCTTTTTTGAAAATATGGTTACATGCTCACGTTTTGCGCATAAAAGGGATCGGCTTGTGAAAGGAATTGCCATTTGAAATAATTTATAAGTGATGATTTAAAATATATAAAATCTTCTGAAACTTTCTCCTGTCAAATTAACCAGCTTACTGTACAATTTAAAACGTTTCAAACGTTGGATGATTATGTAAATAGATACAACTTCCCTCATTGAATTTCATTTTGTTATTAATCTATTCACACACACACACACACACACACACACACACACACACACACACACACACACATATATATATATATATATATATATATATATATATATATATATATATATATATATATATATATATGTATATATATGTATATGTATATATATGTATATATAATTACTATTCTTACTTAAAATGTTTTTTTGTCTCTACTCCGAGTTTCACGCATCGCTGCGATCATCAGGGGACATTGTATCTCAATCATAATTGTGATATATGTATATATATATATGTATATATATATATATATATATATATATATATATATATATATATATATATATATATATATATATATATATATATATACAGGGTGTATCAAAAAAAGTAAGACAATTTTGAAATTGCTCTCAATTCCACAATTCTGTTCATATTTCATTTTTGCTACATATGGATTGCTTGAGTTCTTAAATTATGGAAAATATAAAAAATTTTGAAAATAGTAAATTTTGCTATCCAGGGGGTTGGTCAACTTTTGCTCCCCTAAAAGTGGCTTGCGCACGGAAATGACAAACGGTATTCTTTATTTGAGTTCATGTATGAAAAGTTCGCTATTTGTTGCATTTATGATAAAATTTCGGCAGGATTTTACCGAGTACAAATCCTCCGAAAAGCCTATGAAAACGTTACATTTTTCTCCGTTGGTGCTGTTCTTGCTTCATTATGAATTCATTTTTACTCCCATGAGAGTTCCATGGAATTTCCATGGAATTTGCGCTTTCGAGTTGTTTGTGCTGAAACGCATTTTCTCGTACAATACCCGTACACTTTGAAATGGCGATGCCACAACTTACCCCGCAGCAGGGAGCTTTTATGGTATCAGAGTTCCTCCGTAGCAACAACATAAACTTGGTTCGCCAAAGTTTCAAGAATATCCAGATGTACGATGCCCTTCACGTGCGACTATACGTGAAGGGCATCGTACACAAGTCTGGATATTCGTTCGTGAAACTTTGGCGAACCAAGTTTATGTTGTTGCTACAGAGGAACTCTGATACCATGCATAAAAGCTATCTGCTGCGGGGTAAGTTGTGGCATCGCCATTTCAAAGTGTACGGGGTATTATACGAGAGAATACGTTTCAGCACAAACAACTCGAAAGCACAAATTCCATGGAAATTCCACGGAACTCTCATGGGAGTAAAAATGAATTCATAATGAAGCCAGAACAGCACCAACAGAGAAAAATGTAAGTTTTTCATAGGCTTTTCGGAGGATTTGTACTCCGTAAAATCCTGCCGAAATTTTATCATAAATGCAACAAATAGCGAACTTTTCATACATGAACTCAAATAAAGAATACCGTTTGTCATTTCCGTGCGCAAGCCACTTTTAGGAGAGCAAAAGTTGACCACCCCCCTGGATAGCAAAATTTACTATTTTCAAATTTTTTTATATTTTCCACAATTTAAGAACTCAAGCAATCCATATATAGCAAAAATTACATTTCATGAACAGAATTGTGGAGTTGAGAGCAATTTCAAAATTGTCTTACTTTTTTTGATACACCCTGTATATAAATATATATATATATATATATATATATATATATATATATATATATATATATATATATATATATATATATATATATATATATATATACATCA